AAAAAAAAAAAAAAAAGAGTAATCCAAAGAGTAATGACATAAGTCAAGTGCTAGAACGAAGTAACATAGGCACAGGTCAGCATAACATGAAACTCATATATAGTCAAAATGACTCTTTCAAATCCCATTTGAAGGCAGACCCCATTCCTTCTCAGGTGTTTTCTCCAATGTTGAAACAAGTTGCTGCTTCTTAAATTGGGCCCTGAGGAAATCAATGGCTTGCATTTGGAGCCATGTTGTATGAAAAATGCACTGAATACAGTTGGATGCACATACCCTCTGTACCACATGGGTATGCAGACCGATGGCAGGAATAGCACGACTAAGCCACTGAAGGGCTGGTAGATTGACACCTCCCATCACACCAACCCTCAGGGGCAGATGTTTATTAGGGGGTTGGTGGGCAGAATTGCCTGCCTCGTTTAAATCATTTCTCTTTTGTCATGTTTTTGTTCCCTTCCCCTCTAAGAGGGAGGAAAAGATAATAAAGTAGTAACTGAGGAAAGGAAAGCATTTCAGAGCAACAGGATGGAAAGAAAGAAACCATGAGATGAGAAAGATAGACAGGAAGGGGGGAAATGTGAGTAGTACATATGAATAGAAAGGAAGATTCAAATCTGTAGAAGTGAACAATAGAGAATCCTTAAGATTAAATTGCATTTAGCCAAAATGAAGACATCAGAAGAGGAAAAGATACACAGAATAAGAAAAAGGTGACGTTGTTATCAAAGAGTTCTTTGCTTTCTTTTGCTCCCTTTCCAGCATTACATGCCGCGGCCCTTTCTGGCCACGTCAGCACCGTGAAGTTATTGTTGGAAAATAACGCTCAAGTAGATGCCACTGATGTCATGAAGCACACTCCACTTTTCCGAGCCTGTGAGATGGGACACAAAGATGTGATCCAGACACTTATTAAAGGTTAGTTATTGAGAGTGCTCCTACTAAGTCTCTCTCAGAAGGTAGGAATTGTTGCATTCGCTGAAACAGCTTACAGGCAGAGGGCCACCCGGGTGGACAGATGGAGGGAGGAGTGCCCACACGTACGCATACATGCATGCATGCACACATGCATGCGCACCTACACACACACACACACACAGGCGCGCACGCACGCATGCACACACAAGCATCCGGAAACCCGAGGGCCACTCCTAGTTCCACCTGTTGGTAGTTATGTGATTTTGGAAAAACCACTTCACCTGCCTGATCCTCAGTTTGATTTCGTGTAAACGGAAAATGACTCCTACCCTGACCAACTTACAGGCTTGTTGTAAAAATCCAAAGCAGATAGTATACAATGCTAAGAGCAAAGCGTTTAAGGGACTGCTGTTTTCAGACTCCTTTTTGATCAGTGCTCTCTATGTTCAACATTTTACTGATATTTTTGCTTTTTCAGGTGGAGCAAGGGTAGATCTAGTGGATCAAGATGGACACTCTCTCCTACATTGGGCAGCACTGGGAGGAAATGCTGATGTTTGCCAGATCTTGATAGAAAATAAGATCAATCCAAATGTGCAAGATTACGCGGGAAGAACCCCTCTGCAGTGCGCTGCCTATGGCGGCTACATCAACTGCATGGCAGTGCTCATGGAAAACAATGCAGACCCTAACATTCAAGACAAAGAGGTAGAAATTCTAAGTCTTTTCTGTATTGTTTGCTCCAAGGTGTTTATTTATTCTTCATTAACTAAAATAAAGTAAAACAACATTTTACCAAGTAAAGAGATCACTTATAAATTTATGTGTTAATTAAAAATGAGTCTTATTTTTCCCTGTTTTCCTTCTAGTTCTTGTCTCCATAGCCATATATAATTTAACAAAGTCATAATACAGAATGGGAATAATTTCATAACTTCTTAAAATAAACATACATGGTATATGTGTATGTATGTGTATACATACATATATGATACTTCATAAACCACATTTTTGTTTTGTTCACTTAAAATTATCACCAGCGTTTTCTCCTTTGGTATATAATTTTCCACATAATCATAGATGCTGAATATTCCAAAGTTCTAAGAGCTTTATGTTTCATAACTCATTCAATTTTCACAGCAACTTTCTTTTTTTTTTCAATATATGAAGTTTACTGTCAAATTGGTTTCCATACAACACCCAGTGCTCATCCCAAAAGGTGCCCTCCTCAATACCCATCACCCACCCTCCCCTCCCTCCCACCCCCCATCAACCCTCAGTTTGTTCTCAGTTTTTAAGAGTCTCTTATGCTTTGGCTCTCTTTCACAGCAACTTTCTAAAGGAGTTGCTATTATTATTCCCATTTGCAGGGTAGAAAATCGAAGCTCATAGAGCTTAAATAATTACCCTAAGGTGACAACAGGGCCAGGGTTGTTGTGGAGAGTCAGGATCCAAACTATGTTTGTAACCCCAATTTTAAAATTAAATAAGTAACTTCCTGTTGCTGGATAGTTTTTTGTGATAGTATAAATCACATTTCATTAATCATCAAAGTGCATTTAACTTTTTTTTAATTGTATCCTTAGAATAATTTCCCCTAAGTGAGATTATTTATTATTGGTATATGAATATGATTCAGCTCTTATATATTACTGCCAAACTGCTTTCTAACCCATGTGGGTTAATATCCACTTCCCTAGCCATATAGGATTGTATTGACTTCTCTCAGTCTTGCCACTATGGACTTTTTTTGCTAGTTTAATTGCATTAAGTCTTCAAAAATACTGGCATATTATGTTTTTCCAAGCCAGAAAATATAATTTCTATTAATTCACTCAATATATATTTATCAGGATTGTTCCTATATGTGAAAGTGACATAATGAAAAATATGTAAAAAATAGTTCTTGTACCTATGTTATTAGAAATGCATCTTTTGCAATCTGTAGTATCTTCTACATTTTTTTTTACAAGTTGCTGGTTTCTTACATAAGTAGTATACCAAGCTACTTTCTAGTGTTTTTAGGTCTTATGTACTGTTTTGGATTATGTGCATATACAGCCATAGCATCTGTGAATAGCATGCCTTATTGAACTGTGACCTCCAATACAATGTTGAATAGAATTGGTGATAGTTAGCACCCATAATTCATTCTGGCTTCTCAAGGGGAAAGCTTTAACTATTTCACCATTGAATACGGTGTTTGCTATAGGTTTCCTTGTATTTCTAGTTGCCAAGAATTGGGGTTTTTTATTCACAATTAGCCATTTAATTTTTGTTAGATACTATTTCTGCATCTTTCAACATGTGTTTTTTACCTCTTTGCTGTTTACATGGTAAATTAAAAGGAGTTAGGAAGTAGTTCCTCTTATTCTCCTAAAGAATTTGTGTAATACTGGTATTACTTCCTTTTAAATGTTCAGAAAAATTCCCTGGTGAAGCCATCTTATCTAGAGGTATTCTTTGTGTAAAAGGTGTTAATAACTGACTCAGCATCACTAATAAATACAAGACTATTCAGATTTCTAATTATTTTCTTTTCAGCCACGGTAAGTTGCATTTTTTGAGAAATTGATCCATTTTATTAAAAATATCAAATGTTTTGCATAAGGTTGGTCACATATTCTCTTACCTTTTTTATGACTATAGGACCTAGAGTAATTTCCTCTTATTCATTTCATATATTGGTAATGTGTGTTGTCTCTTTTGTTTTTAAAAAAATTTTTCCATCTTATTCATCTTTTCAAAGGACTTACTGTCTTTGTTAATTTTCCATATTTGAAGTTATTTACTATTTCATTGGTGTTTACTCTTATCTTTATTATTTCCTACCATCTACTTTCCTCAGGTTTGATGTACTATTTTTTCAAAGATTCTTTTGGTGAAAGTTTAAGTCATTGATTTTTTTTTTAGTATTCACTTCCCATGTATGTATTTACGCATGATTCTTATTCTAAGCCTGCGTTAGCTTTATCCTGAAAGTTTGGATAAGTTGTACCATCACTGGGGCACCTGGGTGGCTCAGTCAATTGAGCATCCAACTCTTGATATTTGGCTTAGATCATGATCGCAGCGTGGGATTGAGCCCTGCGTCCGGCTCCACTCTGAGCATGGACCCTGCTTCGGATTCTCTCTCTCTCTCTCTCTCTCACACACACACACACACACACACACACACACACACACAAAGTTGCACCATCACTATAATTGGGTTCAAACATTTTCTAATTTCTATTTTGATTATTGTTTGGCCCATAGATCATTTAGAAGCATATTGTTTAATATCTAGGCAGTTTGGCATTTTCTCATTATCTTTCGATTATTGATTATGTTGGTTTCCTCCTGGCTGCTAAAAAAAAATTATCACAAACTTAGTGGCTTAGAACAGCGTAAATGTATTATCTTACTGTTCTGGATGTCAGAAGTCCAAAATGGGTCTCATGGGGCTTAAAAATCAAAGTGTGGGCAAGATTGCATTCCTTTTGAAGGCTCTAGGAAAGAATCTGTTTCCTTAATTTTTCCAGCTTCTAGATGCTGCCCTCCTTCGTTGGCTTGTGGCGCCCTTCCTCCATCCTCAAAGCTAGCAATGACTAGCTGAGTCACCCTCACACTGCATCACTCTGACACTCACCCCCCCCCCATCTCCCTCCTTCAGTTACAAGGACCCATATGATTACATTGGGCCTGCTCAGATCATCCAGGATAATCTCCCCATCTCAAATTCAGCTGATTAGCAACCTTAATTCCATCTACAACCTCAATTCCCCCTCTCCAATATCATAACATAGTTACAGATTCCAGAGATTAGGATGTAGACATCTTTGCAAAAGCATGCATTTATTCTGTCTACCACACTGATTTGTAACTTCAGTTCTACTGTGGTCAGAAAGCAATCAGAATAACACAATTATTTTATTTTATTTTATTTTATTTTATTTTATTTTATTTTATTTTATTTTACTTTACTTTACTTTACTTTACTTTACTTTACTTTACTTTACTTTACTTTACTTTATTTCAGAATTATTTTAATCCTTCAAAGTCCTTTGAGGCTTTCTTTGTGGCCCAGCCTATGATCGATTTTGGTAACCGTTCTATGTACACTTGAAAAGAATACTAATTGTGTCATAGTTGGATGCAATGTTATATATCACTTAGATCAAAGTTTTTTACTGTATTGTTCAGGTCTTCTATATCTTTGCTGCTCTTTTATTTATTTGTTCTATGAACTATTACAAAGGATGGGTTAAAAATCTCTCACCGTGATTATGGATTTGACCATCTCCCCTTTTAATTTTGTCACTTTTTGTTCTGTATATTTAATAGCTGTGGCATACAGATTTAAGTTGTGATATCTTCCTCTTTGACTTCTTTAAAACTATGAAATATCCCCCTTGTATCTCTGGCAATGCTTCATGCCTTCTTTATTTTTCATGGTATTAAATTTTTTTTTAAGAATACAGGTCATTTATTTTGTAGGATCTCGCTCAATTGGAGTTTGCCTTATGATTCCTCATAATTAGACTTAAGTTTTACATTTTTGGTTAGAATATTATACAAGTGATATTGAATCCTTCTCGGGGTATCACCTCTAGAAACATATCGTTCCTTTTAACATAGTATTAATTTTGATCACTTGGTTAAGATACCATCCATTTTCTCCACTGTATATTTAATATTTTCCCTTTTCATAATTAAGTATGTGTCCAAAAATACCTACTCCAAATACACCTGATTTTTGTTTATGCTTATAGGGAAGAACAGCTTTGCACTGGTCCTGTAACAACGGATATCTTGATGCCATTAAATTACTGTTAGACTTTGCTGCTTTTCCTAATCAGATGGAAAATAATGAAGAAAGGTAAGCTGTTGATGAAAAGAATGTATTGTTGTTCAACTCACATCCTTTCTGCTATATGAAAAAAATCTCTATATAAAAAAATATATTAAAATTTATATAAAAAAATTTAGATACTAGTTCAGAAGTAATAAGTATACTCATAAAGAAACACCACACTACAGTAAGAAATCCTAAACCTAAAGAAAAGTGTTGATTTAGAATCATGGGATTTTAAAATTATTCAGAACTTTAGATATTACTTCTGGCAAGCTCACATTCTACAGATGAGGACACTTAGGTTCTTGCGGCTTGTAGCTGGCATAAAGTCAGGGGAGTCCTGACTGACTAGACCTAGGAATTTGGTCAGGACAGTAGAATATGTCTTATGTTCAAGAAATTTCTCCTGATAAAGAGGTTATTATCAGTTAGTGGACAGAGGTGCCATCATGTGGCATGAAAAATAAGGAGAGGGTGAAAGGATTGAATAATGTAAGATTCACAGAGTTAGGCTGGAGTTATGCCCCAGGGCCCAGGCCCAATAAAAAGGAGCAGACACATGGGGCGCCTGGGTGGCGCAGTCGGTTAAGCGTCCGACTTCAGCCAGGTCACGATCTCGCGGTCCGGGAGTTCGAGCCCCGCGTCGGGCTCTGGGCTGATGGCTCAGAGCCTGGAGCCTGTTTCCGATTCTGTGTCTCCCTCTCTCTCTGCCCCTCCCCCGTTCATGCTCTGTCTCTCTCTGTCCCAAAAATAAATAAACGTTGAAAAAAAAATTAAAAAAAAAAAAAAAGGAGCAGACACAGTGTGAAGTCTAAGCAGGAGACAGTGTTGGCCATCTTGGATCTGGGAAGATTCTGAACATGTGACTTCCGCACCTGAGCTCTGCCTGGCCAGGTCTGTGTTTTGGAACCATTCATTGTTCATGGATGCTATAACTGCAGTGCTTCCTGCCATGACACCAGCCCCACCCCCATAACCACTGCCAGTTCTGTGGGAGATTTTGTGGAGAAGGAGGGACTTTTTCTAGGCCACCTGTTTGTGTCAGGAAAACTGCTCCTCCTTTCTGGGGTGAACCCCTTCATCCCTCCCACTACTTTCAGAACCCCTCCCCATTAAAGATAGCCTCCGCCTATTATTTTCCAATTTATTTCTTTTCTGAAGTTTGTCTTCTCTGCCTATAAAGCCCTCCTGCTCTCGGGGTGCCTGCACTGCTCCGTTTACCCTTACTCACAGTTCCCGCCTTTGCTGTCTGCCTTCTAGCCTCACATTTACGCTGAAACAGTGTCTGAGTGGTCTCTGACAGACTCCTCATTGAGAAATCATATGTTGGTCCCCCTGTCTACTCTCATTGGCCTTTCTGCATCGCCTGGTTCTGCTGACCCCTCTTCTTTACCTTTACTGAGACTATCTTCTCCAAGCTTCTGTGACAGTTTAGTTTCCTGATTCTCTTGCAATTGTGTCTGCTCCTTCTCCATTTATTTTGGCTCCTTTTCCATTTTTTTATTTTTTAAATGTAAACATTCTTCAAGGATTAGATCTTTCCTCTCAGCGCATCTCCACGGAGGCTTCAGTAATCACCTGGGTGCCGGTGAGTTCTAAATCTGTCTTTCAGACTCAGTGTCTCTCCTTGGTTCACACTGTCATTTCCTTTTTATTACCAGCACCATTGTCTAAATCTTGCCCTCTTTGACTCATTCCCGGGACTATCGCAATGCCTCCTTGCTGCTCTGCACCCTTTGAAATTTCCCTCCTTCAGTTCATTTGCTTCCCAAGTAGCCTCCCTAAATCATATTTCTAATATAATTGTTAGTCACATCATTCCTCCATTCAAATGCAGTCCCATCTAAGAAGATTGTTCTGATCCCCGAGGCAGGTGTTCCAAACAAAGCTCTCCCCCACACTGTGGGTTTGTATAGCATTTAGCACACTTCACTTTATCTGATAATTTTATGTAATCCTTTTTCCATGTTAGCAGAGAACTCCTGAAGAGAATCGTCATCTCTGTGTTGCTCGCAGTACTTTTCAGGAAGTAAGTGCTCAGTAAATAACTGTTGCATTGTTGAGTTGATGCTTTCAGGCTCCCAGTAGCTTCCCCTGCCTCACACCTGCATTAGAAATTTCTGGAATTCTTTAGGGCACCCGGGTGGCTCAGTTGGTTAAGCATCCAACTCTTGGTTTTGGCTCAGGTCATGATCTCGCGGCTTCGTGGATTCAAGCCTCACATCAGGCTCTGCGCTAGCAGTGTGGAGCCTGCTTGAGATTCTCTCTCCCTCTCTCTCTGCCCCTCCCCTACTTGTGCTGTCTCAGTCTCTCTCAAAATAAATGAACTTTAAAAAAAAAAAAAAAGAAAGAAAGAAAGAAACTCTGGAATTCTTCGAGTACATACAGTATTAGGTAAATCAGACTAGTATGTCTTACTTTGGAAGGGGTTGTATAAAGAACTCACTGTCTCTATTATAGTCAAATGACAACTGCAAAACCAAGAAGACTCGAAGATTTAGGGGTTTGGACATTGAAGGAAGCTGGAAAGCCAAGCAGAATCCTCAAGGCTGAGGTTTTGACATGAAAGCAGATATGTGAGAGAGAAGATTTCGCTCTTAGAAATCCCATAAAGGCAAAAGGGAAAGGTTAAGAATCCTAAGGAATTTGTGGTGATTTATTAGGTCTATCAGAAAGGATTTATTCTATAACAGTATTTACTGCCTGACTGCTGTTTTCTTAGGAAACAGTAAAAACATTTGTTGTTGTAATTCAGTTCCCATTTTTAGGGGAAGCCTTAAATTTCAGGCCTAAGTAAGAGTATGAATTAAGGTGCTTACTGCCTCCTAGAGTAAACATATGTTAATTACAGACCAAAAGACGGAGGGAAAAATCCTCCTAACTGTACTTGCCAATCTTTAGATGAAAAGAGACAGTGGCAATATCCCAGTCTCCTTTAATGTTTCATCAGCAGTGCACCTTGACGTGCAAATGTCAGAACCCGGCTCTGCCTTTGATGTTTATTGACATTCCAGTTTAGGCCTTCCACTCATCCCATCAGACCATTCCTGCACAGGCAAGGCCAATTGTATCTTGTCTCTTGGCTTTATCTACATTGTTTCTTGACTGGTTACCATCAACGTGGTGCTAATTTTTACTTCTCATGCACGGACACCAAGCACTTGATGTGCACTGTATAGACATAATTTTTGCCAACTACCGCTGGCTTTCAGTCAATAACTATCTGACAGCCACCCTCCGGCATCGATGGGAATATTCGCAGCACTTGAGTGTTTCTAAATTGAATTTGGGGTGAAGAAAGATTCAATAGTAGTAATTTGCAATATGGTCAGTGCCCAAACACTAGGCATAGACTTCGGTCTTAAAATATTTCTGGATGTTTGGACTGTGTTTCCATGAATCAAATATTGACCAAGAATCCTAATTTGAATAAGCCAATTATAAAGAAGGCATTTTTTTAGAAAATTGGGGAAATCTGTGTTTGGAGTGGGTACTAGATTTTGCTAAGGAATTCCTGTTAATTTTGCTGAATACTGTAATGACGTTGTGCTCGTGTCCACATTATTTATGGATCAATACCGCAGTGCAGAATGATTAAATAATAGGAGGTCTAGGATTTGCTTTAAAACACTTCAGCAAAAATAATAAGAAAGGAGTTGGAGGAAGCAAATGTGGCAGAAATCTTGCTAATTGTTAAATTTGGGTAATGAGCATATAAATGGTTATTGTGCTATTTTTATGCTTGAAGTTTCTCATAATAAAAATACAGTTTTTCATGATAAAGATATTTAAAATACAATTTTCCATCCACAAGTGGCCTGAGAGATACAGCAAAGGCAGAGGTTGGGCCTTACTTTCACCCACCAGATTTTGATAATCCTGCTTGTATACTGTGTGAAAAAGACACTCCTATTAGTAATTCTAGAAAAGATGATCAAACCTACTAAATGCATACGTAATTTGCACGTTGATTTGAGAAGCAGCTTCATTCTGTACGAGGATTATATTCCAGGACTGATAGATGTGCTGTGGAAGGATTACTGAACAGGGAGTCCTACAGTCTTAGTTCAGGTCTGGGTTCTGCAGGGAACTAGTTACATAACCTTCAGCAAGTTGCTTAAACTTTCTGAATGTATTTACTCATTTATGAAATGAAGCTGTTAAGCCAAAAGACCTCCAAAATTCAGTTTAGCTCTACTGTCATAGAGTTCTGTGACTCTGATAATTTTTTCCATTGGGAGAGAGTACGGTCATGAAAAGATATTTTAGAATACATAGTGATTACACTTATCTTGATCACTTCATCACTGTATTGTGCACCTGAAACTGAGTCAGTACGGTATGTTAACTATACTAGAATTAAAATTTTTTTAAATAATAAAATTTTAAATAGAATATACAGTGAAAAATTTTATGGGGCGCCTGGGTGGCGCAGTCGGTTAAGCGTCCGACTTCAGCCAGGTCACGATCTCACGGTCCGTGAGTTCGAGCCCCGCGTCAGGCTCTGGGCTGATGGCTTGGAGCCTGGAGCCTGTTTCCGATTCTGTGTCTCCCTCTCTCTCTGCCCCTCCCCCGTTCATGCTCTGTCTCTCTCTGTCCCAAAAATAAATAAACGTTGAAAAAAAAATTTTTTTTTTAAATTTTTAAGTTCTTCTGAATTTACAAGATGCTACCTACTTATAGATAATGTTTTTAAAGTTTATGTTGGCACCTCTACCATAGGGCCTTCTGGTCCCTGAACAGCGAAGACAGATCAAGATGTCCTAAAAATGAGAGTTTCTTAATTCTAACATACAGACTTCCTTCTGAATTCAGTTTCCTTATAGAAGTGACCAAACCACCCTTTGCTTATACTGAAAAATCTCCTCCATTGACGTCTGACTATGACTGTCAGGTGAATTTTGAAGAGAGAAAATCTCTATAATCACTGGATGATTTTCTGTGTCTAATCATGCATCCATATAATCATCAGTTTTTCCACCTCATAAATCAGCTTATCATTTCTTCGTAACACCTCTGATTGTGTTGGATTAGTAACAGTCTCCCAGAGAGGAATCAGATCAGTAGCAGTCGTTAGGTGGCCATAACTCCTAGCTTGGGTCCTGTGGGAACAATATCGATGACATGTGACCATGGTATCACAAACCCTGATGCAGTGCATGTCCTATAATAATAACGACAACAGCTGACATTTATTAATTGCTTCTTTTATGCCAGGCACAGTGTTATCTTCTTTGGATTTATCATTTCATTTATTCTTCATGCCAAATCTGTAGTGAGGAGAGGTAAGTTGGTTAAGAAGTGACAGTCAGCATTACCATTGTTGGAAGGTAGAGTTGGGATTTTATTTTACTTCAATTTTTGTATTTTTTTGCATTATTTTAATACTTAAAATATGTGTCATTATTAAAAAGTAATCATTTAAAAAACATACCTGCCGAGATAATAACACTGATTAATTCTAAGGGGGGGGGGATATAGATGACTGTTATTTTCTTCTGTGTATTTATCCAATTATTTTATATTTCCAGAAATAGAAAGGATATATTTTAAGAAAGGAATTTGCCCAAAATTATACATCTAGAAAGTAGCCAGTTGAGATTCAAATATATAGCTATAGGACAATAAAACCCATCTTTTCTAAATAATATATTTATCAAAAAGGTATGCACAGTGTACAGAATTTAAAAGGTATAAAAAGGCATAAAAGGGGCACCTGGGTGGCTCAGTTGGTTAAGCATCCAACTCTTGATTTCGGCTCAGGTCATGATCCCATGGTTTGTGGGTTCGATCCCCGTGTTGGGCTCTGTGCTGACAGCTCAGAGCCTGGAACCTGTTTCAGATTCTGTGTCTCCCTCTCTCTCTGCCCCTCCCCACTCACACTCTGTCTCTCTCTCTCTCTCAAAAATAAATAAACATTAAAAATAAATAAATAAAAGGCATAAAAAAGCATTCAGTTAAAACTAAATGTCCCTCCTACCCCTGCCTCTGAGACAACCAGTTTCCTCCCCAGAGATGTCGCTGTCAACCAGTTTCTTGGTAAACTTCTAGAGATATATTTTACATCAATAAGAATACAGGGATATGTTCTCTTTTTTTATTCAAAAGGAGCATGCCATAATACTGTTCTGTTGCTTAATTGTTTTTCTTTTTCTTCATTTAACAAGACATCCTGGACATTGTTCCTTATTTTATTCATATGCCACAGTAATGGCTGCATTATAGAAATGACTTCGTTACACAAATAGCCTGTACTTTATGTAAGCAGTATTCTCTTGATGGATCCTGAGGTTGTTTCCATTCTTTAACTATTTCAAACTGTGCCTCTATGAATATCCTTACATAGAAAGCATCACACACACACACACACACACACACACACACACACACGCACGAGAGCAGGTCTCTGGGATATATGCCTGCAAGTGAAATGCCAGAGGACAGATGTGGGAACAATTTTGATAGATACTGCCCAATTGTTGTCTCTGAAGATTAAAGTAGTACATAGGGAGCCTGTCTTTGCATCCTTACCAGCACAGTGTGTTATTAAACTTTCTAATCTTTGCTAACCTGCTCATTGGTTAGCTAACCTAACTCTCCTTGTTAGTCTTAATTTATATTTCTCTTAAATGAGTGAAGCTGCACATATTTTTATATATTTAGGAGCCATCAGTGTTTCCTGTTTTGAGGACTCTCTTTTGTTTTTGGTGTTTTTTGCCCTGCAAAATTTTGTTATTTTTATGTAGTTGGATTTGTCAATCTTCTCTTACAGTTTTGAGTTTTGTACTATTTTTATTAGAAAAGACCTTCCCACTCTAATTTTTAAAAAAGTCTTCCCTCGTTTCTTCTAGTACTTCCACAGTTTCTTTTTCTATATTTAGGTCTTTGCTTCATCCAGAACTCATTTTCATGTAAAATCTGATACAAGAATCTTCCTTTTTTTTTCCAGATGGCTATGCAGCTGTCCCAAAACTACTTAATAAATGCTTTCTGATTTAAAGGGCCATCCTCTTCATATACTAAATCTGTCCATTTGGAGATGTATTTTTTATTTCACAAGCATTAACTATCAGTAGTCCCAGGCTTAAACTTATGAGTCCCACAGGAAATTATCTGCAGTACTTTTTCAGATAGGAGCAGGGTATTATTTGGCACATGGGGAAGAAGAAAAGTGATCATGTGTTCCTATAGCCCCCGGTTTGTGAGCCAGCAAGCAAGACCCAGGAACCATCATGGTCAATGACACAAAGCACCTGACCCCAGCTCCTGCCTTGTTTTGTCCCCTCAGAAAAAAAAGGAACAGCCCTGGAGTACACAAGATAGCCTTGCCTGAGGAAGAGTCCACATGTCAGAATGAAGTTTCCTTTGCTGCATAATATTGGCAGCTGAACTGTACCTCAGGTTACATGCCAACACTTACAAAATACCTTCCTCCTTCAGGTACACTCCCCTTGACTATGCCTTGCTCGGTGAGCGCCATGAAGTGATCCAGTTCATGTTGGAGCACGGCGCCCTGTCCATCGCAGCCATACAAGACATCGCTGCCTTCAAAATCCAGGCGGTCTACAAAGGATACAAGGTCAGAAAAGCTTTTCGAGATCGGAAAAATCTCCTCATGAAGCACGAACAGTTGAGAAAAGATGCTGCTGCCAAGTAAGTGAGAGCTGTGGACATTATGTTCTCACAGCCCAGAATCAGGGTGGAAGGGGGCACGGGGCAGGGGGGGTGGGGGGAAGGGGGGCAGTGGC